TTTCTTTCGTATTTTGAAATGTTCTCGAGATAAATAAGCTTAAGAAGCTAATTCAATCATATATCAATAAATAGATCGCATGTTTCTGTGGATGTTAGTGATGGTAAGTTGGACGCTATTGACTTGTTAATATAGACTTTTGGGGTGTTAGTATGTATATATAGTCATATTTAAGTTAGTCTTACATGTTTCCAAAAAAACGTTTCTGACGAAAAGTTATTCGAGGATAGCACTTATTTATGTCAGAATGTAGATTATGAAGTTCTGTGGATGTTAGTAAGAGTAAGTTAGAGTGGTTGTCTGGACCATAAGAGAGATTCTGAGTGTTAGTGTTGAAGAGGGTCATTTTTTGGCCTTTGTTGACGGTTTAGTTTTTCTATGACTCTTGCAAAGTGAGTGTTTGTGGTGTTAGCTTAATTAGTAATACCCTGATTTCTGCAACTAGATATCAGCTTGTTTCAAGGGGTAGACATCAGAAACTTCAGTCTCGAAGCCTGTTGTTTCTCCTCAGCTTGTTCCTCTGAATCCCGTGTAACTGTTTTTCAAGGAACATTAACAAAAAAAGGAATCAATAAATAATTTGTTTATTTAAACCTCAATAAAATATTTTGTTTACTACAAATGAGTGATGATCTTTGCCAATCTTGAATGAACAACATTGTTGTAGAACTGAGAAACAAGAATGTCTTATCTTTCGAAGAACTATCAACAGGACTATAATATCAAATTGATCATCAGTTTCTTTACAGTTTCGCCATTTATAATAGTCAAAGTAATTTATTTTTTTGGAATGGTTCTCCCAACCCCACATCTTTCTTCATGAACAAGGATACGAGAACAAAAAGGATGGCGGGTATTATATTTGTTTCTTGATTTTGGCAATGATGAAAATGTGAGCGAATTGAAGAGAAATTCCTATTTCTCAGTTCCTGAATACTCTTCTTGTGTCATTTTATTATTCATTAAAAACATCCTTTTCTATGCTAAATTAAATTTCTTTTTTACTAAAGAAATATATCACGACATGATCCTTCTCCGTTTATTGTTGAATAAATGTTTATGGAAAAAAAGTCATTACATAGAAATAAAAAAGAATGAAAGAAGAAATTATCAAAAAGTACATCATTTTGATAAGTATTAAGAACAAAATCAATATTTAATTATGATAATCTGTTAATGTCTAAAAATAAAATGCGAAAGATCAATGATTAGTGACATCTATTACAAATATATGAAAACAAATAAATAATCTATCACAAATAATATAAAAAAAAGAAAATAGTTTTGCTTGAATAATATATTTTTTATATTATTTTTTAAAATTCCTCTCGTCTTGCAATTAGTAGTTCATTTTTCGCTAGAATCAATTTAAAAACAAAAAAAATATCGATTGTAGTGACGTCCGAAATGTGTGACATTTGATGTTTTTCTTCTCCATTATTTATTAATCTTCTATGTGAGTTCATATTTTTAATTATGACATTTTATTTTTACTATTTTTTGTTATTTCGTTTTACCTTGTGTCGTTTTCGAAGGTAATTTTCCAGTTGAGTTACACGTCGCTAAATAGAAAACAAAAAATCAATTTATTTCAAAGATATTTTTAATTTTCTTTTTCTCTATGTACTTTTAATCCACCACTACCATTGAGACATGGAGAAAATTTTGGAAAAGCTGAACAAAGTGAACCTTTAAAACTTTGGCAACTATAATCAGTTTTTGGACGTTTAGAACATTCGTCATAGCGAATTTTCAATGCATTTAATAGATTACGACATTTAAGTTCGGCTTGACGAGTAACACAGTAATCTCCACGTATTTTAAGCTCATTTGGATCGGATGGAATCTATTAAAATATAAAAATAGACGAAGAAAACGAAAATATAAAATAAGCATACTTGAGTCCAATCGGAATCAGTATTCCATGGCGGTGGTTTCACTGTTACCTACAAATAAAAAGAAAAGAATCAGAAGAAAAAAAATTTTTTTTGAAAACAAACCTGACCACCACTACCAAAACAGTAAAGTTCTCTAGGCCATATAAAGCAATATCTAGTTCTGACATCATTACAAGCTGATACTGGTGTTACCATGGAACTACATTTACGAAGTAAATCTTCCATTTGTGATTTAACTCGTGTGCATTCATCGGCGTACGGAGTTTCAGCACATCTATCGCGCATAACAATCAAACTATCTGTTTCCTAGAGAAGATAATTGTTATACATAGTTGAGAAGTGTTTTTATATCAATGCATTAATTTACTCGTGAATGAAATGTACGACCATTTAGTTGATTGGTAAATAGGAGAAGAACGAATAGTAGAACTGTCGTCAACATTATTTTGTCAATATCGACTGACAGTTATTCGATTTTCAAGTATATAAATAAGGTACTGAGTATACACTTCTTGACAAACTTTTTTTTTCTTCTTTCTGTTTCATATTCCATATATTTCTCTTTTCGTTCACACGAAATGTAATAGTGAGTGTAGGACGTTATTTTAATAACGTAGGTGGTATAAGGTTATCGGTATCATTACAATATTCTTTTCTTTTTCTTCCTCACTTTGTCAATAATGAAGTCATGCGTGCGTCTGAGAAATTGAATAGTACAATGTGAAAGAGAAAAAAAAGAAAATTTCAATTGATTGTTTATCATTTTTTTATATTTAGATATGAGTTAAAATATATTTCATACTTTATTAAAATATAATATCAACAACAATAGTAGAAAAATAAAAACAAAGAAATAATCATGTTTTGGGAATGTCATGTAGTAACATCATCAATTGATAAATTACTTGATCAACCATCGGATAGTGTTACTTTACAAGATTTTCTTGATGAAAATGATTTAATACAAGAATGTCTTACACAAAATAATCGTCTTCTTGATTATCTTGTACAAGGACATATAATGAATGAATTAATTGGTTATATAATAAAACTTCCAACTGATAATAATTTTCATAATGCACAAGTTGTTAGTGAATTATTATCTGGTGATTTTCAACGTATACAAGAAAAATTACTTGAAAAAGAACATTTAGATTTATTATATTCATTTTTATTTTCAAATGAAATACATAATCAATCAACAGTTAATCCAATACTTGCTTCATATTTTTCACGTATAATTATGACTTTAGTTATACGAAAACCTAATGAATTAATTAATTATTTTAAATCTCGTGAAACATTTAAAGATGATTTTTTTCATCATCTTGATTCAACATCAGTTACTGATGTTTTATATCGTTTAATTGCTGATTGTGGTGAACAACGTCCCGAAGCTATTAAATGGTATGAAGATATTAATTTAATTGATGGTCTTGTACAACAATTATTAATATGTGAATCAACATATACTCAAACGAATATTGTTAATTTACTTGGTGAATTTATACGTTTAGCTTTTGATCAACATAATGGAATTGATGATGATATTCAACAAAATATAAATGCGCCATTATCATCGTCAACAATGGAGTGTCTTCCTCATAATACAAAAGAAAATGATGAAGGTTTGAATTTAATCTAGAAAATTATAATTAAAGAAAATCGAGTTATAGAAGAATAATTAATGTTAGATATCGAAGAATAGATAATCGTGAGAGTAGATCTTTTGTATATATGAAGTATTATTAATTCATTCTTCACTATAAAAGAAGAATGATCTGAATAGATGATTTATTGAAATAATTATAAAAGAAACATCTGTCAAGATAAGCAAATCGGATTTTTTAATAGCCTTAAAAATTTTTCTTGTTCGCATTGATCACATGTGAAATTTTTATTTTTCCTCCTTTCTCATAAAAAAATGTATTTGCAAATTCTCTAAAACGTAAAATATCAATTGTTTTGCTTTCTAATCATTGAAGTAATTCGTCTGAGTTAGGAATCTTTTTAAAAAAAGAGAAAAGTTTTAAAACAAACTATTCAAACTTATCTTAATTCAATCTAAAATGACACCGATTAAAACCGTATTATAAGGAATATCTTAGTTTAAAACGAACCTACTCTCCTTCTGACACGAAACTTCCACGATAGATAAATCTCGATTAGAAATGGACGAGTCAAATCAAATTATTTTTTCTATTTTTTTTCTTTTCTGTTTATTCTGATAGAGCACATTAACAAAAAGTTCTTCATTATTAGAGATGTACGAAACTAAGTTTTTTTTTTGGTCTCGATGTAGAAAATACTATTCCGGAATTTATTTATATTACATCTAAAAAGAATTCTTGAATGCTGATTTTTTGATTGACTTAGTCAATGACTAGTACTTGTATGGGACTACTTTTCTGAATTATGTCCGCTTGATATGATTTAAACTATAATTCGCTTAAAAACATAGAACATTTGTCTGTAATGTCTCGTTTCGATCTCGATCTCAGTTATTGCTCTTTTTCATCATGCTAGTAACCGGAATTGGTACTAAGATTGATTTTGCACATCTGTATTCATGACATCTCCTGAATGATTCTTTCAGAGAGATATGAAAGTTGGAAAATCCAAAATAATACTCCTCCTTCTTCTTGGTTTCTATTTCTCTATAATTATATGTGTTCATTTAAGCTGACACTTTCATTTGCAATTATTTGCGGCACTTCCTTTTTTGTTGTTCTTTTTTATCTTGTTACCTTCGCAAAAGGTAATTGAGTAAATTTTTGTGATAAAACAAGATTTCAAACAAAGCGCGACAGAACAAAAATAAATTTTAGCTATTCGCGTATAAAAAATGTTTTGTTATTTCAATTTCAAGCTATATTGAAACTTTCAAAATATGTCACATCGATAAAAGACATTTATTAACATAAGGGAAAAAAACGCAAGAAGGAAAAACTAAAAGTTTCCATGAACACTAAAGAACGATGTGTCCTATTAAAGACGTAAATCTCGATTCTGTCCGTATATAAACAATCTCTAATATTTAGTACACAAATCTATACGATATATTGACATGACTGCAAATAAGTCCTATATTTACTTTTTCATTTCATAAGATTGTACTGAAGAAGAAACAGTAGGGACTTCAGTCTTGAATATTGATTTCTTTTCTTTCTTTATTAATTTGTTACGAATTAATATGCACGAAACATATTTTTCTTTTATCTTATTTTCAATTATACATTCATCAACTTGTATCGGATCGAAACGATTGATACTAAAAATCAATATGACTTTCTATTATTATTATTATTTAAGACAAAAAGAAAAACAAAAGAAAATCACCATGTAACAAAAAAGTAAATGTTTTTGTGATTCTAGAATTATCACCATTTAATCGATTTTCTTCTGATAATGAAACGGAAAATAAATCAACGGATAATCAAAATGATGGGAAATTAACGCCATTAATACTTGCTCAACATATTTTATCGAAATCAAATTTAGAAAAATTATTCGATACACTTATCAAACAGCCAATGCTTGTTGCAAATGGATGTGATTTTCTTATAACTGTTTTCGATCTACTCGGTCGATATATACCTATGCCACAATGCATTCCAATAACATCATTCGTAGAAGGAACATCAATTTTAAACAACGAATATTCTGCATTCGACAAAGAAGAAAATGAACGAATGCAGGTAACGTAACTATTTTTTTAAATAGTTTTTATGAGCAAAACTAAAAAGTTTCTTATTTTTATATTTAAGATAAACGATGAAGGAGATACATCACCAGTGATAAAATCTACTGAGAAATCGTCAGATGAAACAAACGTAAATCCATTGAAATATCTTTCAGCTAGTGTTAAAGATCTTCGTGTCCAAATTTATTTAACTATACTTGAAGTAGTCCCTTCTCGATTGCCATCTTTAATTGCTTTACTTTCAAATCCATCGGCACCATTAATGCCATCATCACTATCACAAGATAATTCACAATCAGTAAAATATCAATTTATTAGTGAACCTCTTGGTTAGTAATTAACATGTTTTTTTTTTCTGCATTCAATATTTTGATCTTTTTCATTTTCAGGAGCAACGCGTCTTAATTTGATCAAATTTTTTTCAAAATTAATTCATACAATTTCAAATGATTATACCGGTGATTATATCTATCAGATATTAGATTCCAATCGTTTATTTCATATATTAATCGATCTCTTTTATCATCATGTTTATAATAATTTTCTGCATACACAAGTATATCTAATTATTCGTTTAATTTTTCATATTAATTCATTGGCTGTTAAACAATCAAATGATATATGGACACGTTTAGCACTTAATGATCAAATAAAATCATCTGAATCAGGTACAAAGATAAGGTTTTATTAATGCAAAATTCAAGTGAATTCTTTTCTCTTTCATTAATACATGGTTTCAAAGAGCTTGATATGAGTTGTTCATGAATAATATACGTTTTAATTCAATTCAACTACTGTTCTTCTGAAAACCAAAAAAGAAAATATTAAAAACTCATCAACTTGAGCAATACATAGTTCAGATAATTCAGCAAAGTTTCACCTCACTCACATTTCTCTTTCGATAACGGAAAACCACGAATTTCCAGCTTCTTTGATACTCAATATATGCAAAAATAATCAAAGTGCAATATATTTTGACTTAGGTTTACAAGAATACTCTCCAATAAGTGCTATGAGGCAGGTTAAACCTACTTATGTGGGATAGCACTTTTATACTGAGTTTTTCATGCTGAAGCGGAAAAATGTTTTCTATAAAAGTTGTACAAGACAAAAGAATTGAACTTTGACGATTTCTGTCAATAACAACGAAAAGTAAATTTATGATTGTCAGTGCTACATTTCCAGTCATTCGAGGTTTTTACGATTTTTCAGATAAACACTGGTTGAATGGAAATAAAAAAAATTGTATATTCGTGACCAACTCGTCAAGCTCTATGAAATCATATATTAATGAAAGAGAAACAAGTTCATTTGAATTTTGCATATACGACACTTTACAGTTTTGAATAAAATAAAATCTTGTTTTTCTTTCTATTAGAGCTTCCCAATTCTTCATCATTTCATTATACAAATCGTTGTTCATATAAATTATTTCAATCATTATTAAATTCATCTCAAGTTAATCTCATCGAACGTCTACTTGATCAATATGAATTAAATATTGCATCGAGTAAATCAATTTTAACAAGTTCATCATCTGATGATGCTATCACATCTTCTTTACTTCATACACGTTTTACATCACCAAATTCAGGTCATATTGCTCAGATACTTCGTTGTTTACGTGAATATGCAACAATATTTGATAACTATTCAACATTTTTAAAAAATGATAATCAACAGCAATTTGACGACAATACAAATGTACTTGAAATACGTTGGGAAACAGCACTTGATTATCTTAATGAAGATGAAAAAAAATGTTCAGCTATGCATCATCATGAACAAAATAGTACAAATAGTTTTCGTTTGAATTCTTCTGCAAATGCTATGGGACATATCAATAATGAAAATAATTCAAATGATAGTAGTGAAACAAATCAACGACGACAAACATTTCATATGAGATCATTTGGTAGTAGTGGAACACCTTATCTTGATGATGATGATGATGATGATGTAAGTTTAACGAGAAAAAGAAAAAAACATCACAGTAAAATTTTACTTAGTATTTCAAACTTTCGCAGAATAATTTTGACCCAACATCTTTTTTAAAATCAAGTTTAGTTGTACAAGTTCAAACAGTAGATTTTAGTTTTGTGTTTGATATTTCAAAACCTTCAAGCAACTAAAAATGATGACAAAAAAAAGAAGTCATAGAAGTTCATTGAATCGATAGAATATTTTTCGTTACTATTTTTATTGTAGTATGACACATGCAGAAGCGCAGAATCTAGTGTTAGAACAAAAAAAAAGTGTCCTAGACACAGGAAATTCTTCAAAAATCTTTTCGTATTGTAGCAATCATAAAGGTGATTGTTCTTGTTAAGTGAGGTCAAATCGACTATAAGACAAATTTGAAATATCTTGATTACGTTCTATGAAACGAACTGTTTTTTTTATTGTTAACAGAGACTTATTGAAAGTTTGATGCCATATACAGGTGGAAAACTCGGCAGATAATTCTCTATTCTCGTCTAATGATGGAACCTTCCACACTTGAAAACCGTTATCAAATTTAGACTGTGTGAATAACGTAGATTCCAATGAGATATTAAAAATTCCAAAAGGATAAGACTTCTTAGATTTTCTCTACAGAGTTATAGCCATTGCACTAAAATTTTAGTCAATAGCATAGTATGTAGAAAAGAATCGAATGATGATATATTGATATAAAATTCTACCCTTAGATAAGCCTAGTTGTATCTAGTGTGTGTTGAAAATTTCAATAAAAAAGAATGTTCACTTCACGAGATATTAAATTTCCAGAAATTACTCATATTTGACGAAAGATTTGAGAATCTCATGTTTTTTCTGGAAATTCAATATGCCGTGAATGGAACGTTGTTTTTTTTTTGAGCCGAAATTATCAGGACATTTTATATACGACTAGGTCAATTTATGGGCAAAATTTTAGTTCAGTACATATATCATCATTCGATTTTTTTCTGAATACAATGCTATAGGTTAAAATTCAGTGTGACAGCCATAACTCTGCCGGAAAAACCTAAGTGTATTTATCATTTTGAAGTTCTTAATATCTCATTGATGTCTACCTTATGCATAGAACCACAATTCCGAGCAACTTTCAAGTTTGGAAGGTTCTATCATTAGATCAAAATGGAAAATTATCTATCGATCTCTCCACATGTATTTTCTTTGTTGACAACAGATTACACCACTTCAGTAAAGTCAATAAGGATAATTTAGAATCGTATTTATTCATATTTTATTTATATATGATACCATACTTGAAATAAGTCTCTATCAACAATAAAAAAAACCTATCTTATTTAATTTAATCGCAGTGGAGGAATTCTAACTTTTTCTAATATAATTATTTATAGTCTATTCTGTACATTTGAAGAAGACAAAATCAGTGCAGCAGTACTTAACACGTTTAATATGACATAAAGAAAACCTATTCTTTACTAACTATCCACAATAGAAATCATTTCGCTTTAAAACAGTAATGTATCAGCAATTAAAAATACAAGAAGAAGCTTTTGTATTACTTAATATCAATAAATCAATTATAGAAATTGTGTACAAAGGCTTCTGTTATTATCGTTTCAAGCGAAAAAAACTTTTTTCAAAAATTCAAAACTTTCTCTTAATCTGCGTAGACACATGAGAATAGATTCTACAGTTCTGACCGTTTGAAACTCTTGATATTTAGCTATTTCAATTATTCAGGAATAAAAACAAATTCAAATATTTAGGATGAAGTCGAGCGATTTGATATCGATGATGAATTAATGAATAATGAACAGACATCAAGCGAACGAAAACTAGCTGAGATGAAAAAAGTAAAGATAAATCAAAAAGAAAAAACTAAATTGCCTATTTTTAAATCTTCATTTTATTTATTTTTTTATTAAATTAGGTTTCATTTGAACCTCAATTCCCACCTGTATTTGATGAACAATCGCTTTGGCATCAACAAGATGATACGGACATGACAAAAAGTCATCATGATAATGAAGATAAGGATAATATGAAAATGGCATCAGCTCCTCCATTACCTGATCTATTTGAAAATTATCGAAAACAGCAAGACAAATCAGCATCATCAACAGAATCTAGTTTTGAACAGCTCTGTTCTTTACGAGCTAATGATCATGGTAGTGGTCCTATTATTTTTCCATTTCAATCATCATCATCATCAACGATTCGTGATGAGGTAGGAGAAGGACAAGATGAATATTGAAAATACATACGAAATATGGATAATAAAGTTTAAATACATATGATTTGTCTGCTGTCGCCTACCGTCCTTAATGGTTCGATTATCTTATTTCTTTTCTATGTATCTGAGATTTAGCATTCTTTCTTCTTCTGCATTCTTTACTTTGATATATTATCAAATAGGAAAAACCTATTACTATCATGTGTTTTATGTTCATATTATTTTTTTCTCTTATCAAAAATGTGTATAGTCTCTTGTATTAAGATGTGTAAGTGTATATGTATGTCTTTGTTTTGTTTGTCTGTCATGATGGTTGTATAGAAAAATGATTGGTTTTTCTTTGGTTTGTTTTTCGATCAGTATACTATGAATAAAAGAGAAAAGGAAAACAATAGCTAATCTGTGTGTGTGGGCGGAAAAACTGTATTGGCGGCAGCAGGCAATTTATTTTAACAAAAGTGAAAGACAATAATTGTGTTTGCAATAAAATTCGAGTACAAATCACACAATAGTGTTTACGAGAAGATTTTAAATCAATACATTATCTTACTTGTTATTGTTTGCATCTAAATAGGCAATATGGAATAATAATCTATTTTGCCACTAATATCCTATTTATTATGTGAATACAAATAAAAGAGATTATTTAAATCAACTATTTGACAAAATTAATAGACAAAGAAACTGCTACGATATGAAATCTGATAATACTAATAACTAATATTAATTGCTTCAAAATTAATTATTGAAACAGAGTTACTCTTGTTAGTTAACTTTTCTTCTTAGAATATGTGAGTTTCGGTTTTCATTAGATGACAAATACATTGAATCTCTTTATACTTTGAGATAGAAAGAAAGATTGCCTTCAAATAATCAATAATCGCTATGAAACTCTTGGTTAAGATATATTATTTGAACAGCACTCGAAAACATATTCTTGTCTATTTACTATGACAAAAAAAGTCATTTTCAATCGTATTCTTAATGAAATCTTTATTTTGTTTATGACTACTAATATTATTGCTACTTTGAGGATTCAGAGTTTCTGTCATTAACAGATTGATCGACATGATGAAAGACTTATTTATAAATGAGAATCAATTGATTAAGAAATACGTTCATTGATGTATGTTATTGCCGATAATATATGCGTATGCATGCACTCCCTTTATTCTGATGGTAGGTTTACCAGCTCTATAGTGGTATATATATATGTAGTAAAAAAAAAGTTCAAAAGACCTCGAGACCTCCAATTTCATCATCCAAAAAAGGGAGTTTATAGCTATATATGATGGAAAATAATTCTAACGGTCAACTTGACCTAACGTCAATAAAATAGAGACTATGACGAGTCTGCAAATGTATGTACAGTAATAACGTATTTGAAATACCCTATGAAATAAATAATGGTATCGTTGGGTATGAATGAGTGAGATGTGCGATGTCTTTTATGTAGAGCACCACTCTCTTCTCCTCGTCTTGTGTCGATAAACAGGCTTATTTTGCTAGATCTCCTAAAATTCCGTTGTCGGCAAAAAATGGACGTGTTTTTTTTTCAAAAATTCAGTTTGAAATGAAAAATCCCATAGACATCCACCAATTATATTGATAATTAATAAATCTTAATCTGTTTTGCCAACTTATCGTACACTATTGTATTAGATACAATGTATAATCTTAGTAACTGACAAGCTAAATAAGTAATATCGCATGAAATGAATAAATAAAATCCTGTATCTAAAAGTACAGAATCCAAAAAACAAGAATTCTTCATGTTTTTGTTCAATTAGAATATACTTACTCAATAAAAATTCTTGTGATATTATTTATTGATAGTAGTAAAATTTTGAGAAAATAAATAGTACAGCACAATGGTAGGCTACATTACTATTCTATTCTTATTGGTAATGATATGACCTATATTTCATGTTCATACGGTAACTATTTTGATCTTGTATCTGTGACTATAGTTGATGAATCACAATTATCATAGCTTTTATCAATATGATGTAAATTCTTTTAATAAGCGAAGCAATTTTACTTTATTCATTAAATGTATTGTCCACTAAGTCATGTCAAATAAAAAAGACATTTACAAAAACAAACAATGATGAAAATCTTATTGAATAATACAGATTTAAGTCTCATTAGATTAACAAAATTTAATCTACTTTTTTCTACATACAAATAATCAAAATTAGAATGCTTGTTATCAAAAACCAGATATGCGGAATAATTGATTGTCCTTTATTATACCAATAATTACCACCAGTTGCATACCATCCTTGACTTCCAGGTGGATAGCGATTGTATGGTCGATTAAAATAATTGTTAACATTTGGTCTGTGAAATGCATTATTATAATTATTGTTGAATAAATTGTATGGTTGCTGTTGCTGTTGATGTTGATCCCAATTCGAAATAAGACCGCTGTTCGGAGAATAACCTTGATTATAACTTATTACATTGATGCTACTGTCAACATCATTTCTGACTGGTCCAAGGTCACCATAGTTGGGATTGATTCCAGTACCTACAGTTACATGAAAAAGAAAATGGGTACAAAATATATTTTTTGATAAGAATCATCCTCACCATAGTAAGCGCCCGGAATAGCACCACTTGGATTATCTGTTCCGCCACCCCATCCCCCATAAGGAAGGTCTTCTCTTGAAAAATGAATGTATTCACGACCATAACGTTTATCAGGTAATGTATCTACTAAAAATGTCAATACTCATGTTTCTTTTGAGACGGTTTTTCGTTTCTTTGTTACTCACTCATTGTACAGAAAAACAAATTAAGAAGAAAAAATAGGTGTACATGAAAAATCATTTTATGCATTTATGCGTTTATGAACATGTGAATCGAGGTTAATTCTTTTCTTCTATGTTGTATCAATAACGAATGAGATGTAATAGAACAAATTCCATAATAAGACTTCCTTTTTTCTCTTTTTTTTTCTCTTATTATACATAGCATTTTTTGTATGTACAGCTTCATTCTGTTAGAAGTGTTCTTGGCAATAGTATCACTGTACAACATTCATAGTTGACGAGAAAAAAAGTAATAGAAAAAGAAAAAAAAAATATTGTATAGCTACATCACGAGTGTTTTGTAAATATGTATCCAGGAAGAGAACATGTCAAGCACCTACCAAACACAAGTTTTTTATGCGTCGTTTTCTATAAATAATGACTGATGAACGACAATGAATTATTGTATAGGCGAATAAAAAGTTTATCAAAAATAGTAATGAAACTAATATCTGCTATACTTGTTCAATTTTACCATGGTAGAAAAATACAAATTAATCGACAAACTTTTTTTTCTCCTATAATTAACTATGATTCAATAAGCAGTCTACAAGAAAATCGGTAGAAAAACAATCTTAACTAATAAATTTACTCAATTTATTAACTAAATTATTTTTTGTTTACTATCATATCAATAATATAGTCGATAGATGATAATAATAATGAGAAATTTTCTTGTTTATATTTAATAGAAGTGTTAGTATTGAATGAACAAAAACAAATGAATATAGTTTATCGTGAAAAATTATATAATGTACATTTCATCTATCATTAAATCTGGATGTAAGACTAACCAACCAAGTTTGAAAACAATTTTGCTGTTTTTTCATAATATTGTTATCTTTTATATCGCATCTTAATGTAACCTACAACGAAATATACAAAATCCGTACGCACTCAGAAATGACCGTATACACTCCACATTTCACTATATTATATGAGTTCATATTATGACTGTGTGTCTCCGTGTTGTTTACGGAGAAATACGACCGTTTATGGCAAAATACGAAGTGAAACAGAGACAGTATGCGTGCTTAGTAAACTACGGCGTTTACGTTCGTTAACGATCGTATTTCTCCTTATACAATATGGAGAAATACGATCATAATAAAGTGCCATGTAATACGATGGTTTACGGTCGTTTACGAACATGGTTGTTCGACCTGGAAGTGAGTGCATCACAAATAATAGCGACATGTATATTTTGAGATTTTCTCAGTCAGTTTTCATTGTAGAAATTTGTAATTCGTCTCAAAATCATTCTTCCAATTGACTCTCTACACATTTATATGAGAAAATTTTATTTAAACTTCTAAAATGGAAAAATGACTAACGAGAGAACATATTTAGGTATTCAAGCCGTTTAGATCCCATCATTTGGCGATAGATAGATCTCGATGAGATATGAAAAACCCCAAAAGGATAAGTGCCCTTAGGCCTTCTGCTCAGAGTTATAGGCATTTTACTGGAATTTCAGCCTCAGGGATGGTATATACCAACGAATCAAATGATGGTATTTCTACTTGAGATTGTGCCCACATACAGGTCTATTTTTGAGTAAGGGTCTCTGAAAATTTCAGCTCAAAACAATGTTTCCTTCCCGAGATATAAAAGTCCCAAAAATCACTCATATCTCACGAAGAATGCTGGAATTTTCCGTTTTTTGGGACTTTTATATCTCGGGAAGGAAACATTGTTTTGAGCTGAAATTTTCAGAGCCCCTTACTCCAAAATAGACTTNGATACCTTAGAAGAACTTGTTGTGTTCTGTTTCAATCAGAATATACTAGTTCGACAATATTTTTTGTGACATTAAATGATGATATTGATGACATGTAGAAACACATTGACATGTCAAAGGTAGAAATGAATATTACAGAATAAAGAAACATGACTTTACTCTTCTGTTCAATCCTTATCTTGTGTCCTTGACTATAATACAATCGATATACCACAGTTATCATAGCTTTTATCAGTATGAAAGAAATTTTTTAAATAAATGCAGAATATTTATTTTATTAATTAAAATTGTTCTCAATTAGGCCATATAAAATTTAGAAAAAGACACTTAAAAAACCAAAGATAGTGAAGATTAAATTGGATAATATGGATTTAGATTTCATGGTGCAAATATCGTTTAATCTGTTGTTTTCTATATAAAAATAATCGGAATTAGAATTCCTGTTATCAAAAGCCAAGAATGTGGAATAACAGGTTGTCCATTATTATACCAATAATTACCACCAGTTGCATACCATCCTTGGCTTCCGGGTGAATATCGATTGTACGGTCGATTAAAATAATTGTTTGTGTTTGGCCTTTGCGGCGCATTATTATGATTATTGTTGTACAAATTGTATTGTTGCTGTTGTTGCTGTTGTTGTTGATTCCAATTTAAATTCTGGCCGCCGTTATAATAATAACCTTGACCATAATTTATTGCATGGATGTTACTGTCAGCATCGTTTATGTTTGCTGCAAAGTTACCTTGGTTCGGGTTGTTTCCAGTACCTGCAGTTACAAGAAAAAAATGTGCAGAAAATATATTCTTTGATAAAAATTATTCGCACCATAGTACGCGCCCGGGCTTCCACCACTTGGATTGCTCGATCCTCCGCTCCATCCTCCATAAGGAAGGTTCCATCCTGAGTGAGAAACGGATTGGCGTCGATATCGTTTACGAGGTATTGCATCTACTAGAAACGTCAATACTTATGTTTTTTCAACTTATTTTTTTTTTAATTGCTACTCACTTATTGAAAACAAAAATAAACTTACAAGAAAAAGTAAACATATATTAAAAATCATTTTATGCATTTATACGGTTATGAACATGTGAATCGAAGTTAAATTTTTTCTTTCACATCGTACCAATAATGATAGCAGAGAAACATGATGAATTCTATTATAAGACTTCCTTTTTCTCTTTTTTCTCTTACTACACATGTCCTTCTTGGCAACAGTAGCGTAGTACAACATTCATAGGAGACGTGAAAGAGTAAAAGAAAAAGAGAAAAAAGTATCTTACAGTTACATCACGAGTGTTGTGTAAATATGCGTCGATGACGAGAATATGTTACGCACCAAACACAACTTTTTATGCGTCGTTTTCTACAAGCAATAATTGATGAAATCATTGTGCAGACGAAGAAAAAATGGATGGAAAATACGGATGATACTAACATTTATTATACTTATTCAATTGTCTCCGGATTGAAAAATAGAAATAAATTGATAAACTTTGTTTTCTTGTACAATTAACTATTATTCGATTCTAGCTTAGAAAGAAAATCGAGAGATAAATCATATTAACTAATGGATTTGTTTGATACAGCAACTAAATTATTTATTCTACTATCATATCAATAATTAATCGATAAATAATAATAAACATGAACTTTCTTGTACACATTTAAAGATAGGTAACGAAAAGCAAATTCTTTATTTTTAGGAGAAGAATGTTTGTGCCTGAACAAATAGATATAATAGTTTTTTTTTTAAATTTATAATCTGTTTTCGATCTGCATTGAATGAACCAAAAAATGTGTACAGTTCATCTTTAAAAACCGAAATATGGCTTGTTTCATAGAATGTATACTTCATCTATCATTACATCGATGTAAAAGACTAGTGAATCGAGTCTGAAATGATTTTGTTCTTTCTTCATCATATTTCCGAGTGGAAAGATCTTACGAAGATCGCAGACGATCATACTGACAAATGGTTGTCGTAAGATTCATATTGTATATAATTGCGCGAAATCATATAAATATCCTATTGTACGATGTAATATTTATCAGACTACAAGATGCTACTGTGAATATTAAATGAATCTTATTATAAGATTCTTGCAAAGTTGAACTATCGGAATTTTGTAAGATCTTATACGATCATACAAAATCATGATTTTCGATCTCACCTATACAGATAGTTTTGTAAATGTAAATAAATATTTAAGCGATTCAATACGTTCTAATTTAGATGCGATAGTTTTAAAAATAGAAAATACTTGTTCTCTGTAACAACATCAATCCACAGATAATTTTATCAATTCGATTAAATAGAAATAGATTTGTTTCTGGTTAAATTGTTTACGTTCCTTTTTTATTCTAGTTGATTTTTACGCTTTTTTTTGTGCCTTTTAAGCGTATATTTGTGTTTTCATTTAGTTTTTGTACTTTTTTTTTAAATAAATATACACATGCGAGTAAATGTGAAAGACTTTCTTAGCAAAACAAGATGGTGGAACCCGAAAATACAAGAAAAGTAGGCATGCAACGTTGTAGGAAAACCTGAAAAAATCATATATGAATCGCATAAGATCTTACAGTACGACTTTATCAGAAATGGTTGCTTTTAGATAGGAATTTAAAATAGTACAAGATTGTAATTATATGAGTTTTATGGATCTTGTATGATCATACAGTAAATTCCTATACGAGCCTGCAAGAATCGTAGAAGATCTCATAATGGGATTCTTTGATCCGGATTCATATGGTTTCTATCTCATCTTGATTAGGATTCTCTATTAGATAGGTAAAACGGCAACGGCTTCCTTCCAACGTCCTTATCGCCCTCGAAATCTTCAACTTTCTTCTAAAAATCTTAATACGTTCTGCCAACTTTTTACAGATTCCTGGTAACTTTGTATAGAAACTGTATTTTGAAATATCATTTGTCTTTTGTTGGAAGTAGGTGTAATAAAATAAAGCAGCCAATTTCGTTGCGAGGGGAATATAATTGGAGAGAAACGGTGTGTTGGCAGGTATTGTGTTGTGGAGAGGCTGAGTCACAATGGGTTTCGTTTTTCCGCACTCCCATACCCATTTCCGGTTATTAATTTTTTAGCCCTTCTAACTCCTAAAAAAATATTCACCATGCTGATCTTCCTATATCTTTTAGCTTTGCTAATCGTTATTATATTGAATATTGAGTTGTCATAAAATTTTTAAATGAAATCATGTCCCTTGTTTTATTTCAATCGCAATACAATTATATTATGGCACTCAAAGCAATATAAACACTTGCTACGCTATCCCTGATTGATGTATTCATTGTACATGAGATAAATGAATGAATAAACAAAATCTGCGAAATAAAACAAGAACAACATATCAGATTTGATTGAGCTCAATCAATTTTAGAATATGTTTCACTAATGTCCGCTGTGATTCCAGTGTAATCGATCTAGTTCCCTTGCACATTTTCATTTGATCATCGCGTAATGTTGATGAACATTTTTTTATATGAAATATATGCGTTAAACTTGTATCAATTGTTCGGAAAACATTGAAAGTTGGTGATTGAACGAATTTATCATAGATTTCAATATCTTCTTTTCTCCATCCACTTATTTCAACATTTCAATTAGCAATAGATCTCAGATCAGTTTTATAAATACCAAGCATACCAAAACCATCTTGACGTCAATAACCAATATCATCACGTAAATGAAATGATGAAAAATTTGTTTGAAATTGTGTTGTTTCCCAATAATGTGGATCATATTGACTGAATATAATTGGAAAATAGACTTGTTTATGAAAAAATAGTATGAGCATGTATACGTGGAAATAAATCTCGAATAAAAGCCATATCAAAATAAATAAAAAATAAAAGATCTGTATCATTAAAGTGAGATGAACCATATGAACTTGCATAACCGCATGTAAAATTTTCATTTCTAACTTCAGTTAAATGTATACGTGATGCTTGATGATTCTCAATAAATTTTTTAATATAATCAACTATTGTTGACATTCGTTCATCACTGTCTTCTGATGTTTCCATTAGAATAGCATGAAGATGTAAATTAAGTAATTTCGTATCATTACTGTGCATAACAACATGATGAAAATTAGTTAACAATCGTTTAAGCGTAGAGAGACGTCCGCTAACAGGTACAATGATATGTATAAGAATAGAAGATGAAGTTTTAATCGTATTTATATTAGTAGTCACCGGTGAAGTTAAATTAACATGATAAGGAGAACCAGCTCCTGAAGAAGATAATATTGCACTTGAATATGCTGATGATAATTCACGAAAGTAAAGAGGACAAAATTTTTGCACGACATATACATGTTTTCGTACGGATGCCTAGATAAGAAAGAATAAAAATTTAGTATAATGAAAATTTGATTGAAAGATAAATTTTATTCGAATTTTCTTTTGTCATTGTTAAAATAACTTACCGACACTTTTTTGCCAGACAATTTTCGATAGATAAGAAATAAATCTAAAATATAATTCATTCCAAATTGTGGTTGATATTTATAATAGTCACAAAAAGTATTTTTATATTCTAAAAATCGACACATATTTCTTGATATTTTATTTACTTCTTCCATATATGTTCGAACAACTTCATCAAAACATTGCTTATATGCTGGTTCAATAGATTGTACTTGTGGTTCTGTAATTGCTGAATATTGACTAGCAGTAAAGAATGCATATATACCAGGTTTATTTTTTTTTTTATAGAAACTATTATTTTTTTGACGTGAAAACTTATTATGGTAATTATTTAATGTTTTTGTACGTGTTAAATCGTCGTGTTTATTATTATTCTTTATAATTGATAGATCAGAATTGAATGGAACAGTGAAATCATTTATTAGCGATGATGATGAAACGGAGGATAGAGACGAACTAAGAGATTGATTAAAATATCGGTATATAGCATTCCATAAGTAATAATCTAAAAAATTAGCAATGAGGAAAAAAAACAGAATTTATGTATTTTTTATCTATACCTTGTCATTCATTATGATAAGCATTATTAAATAATCGAAATGTATTATTATACGATGACATAAGTTTTTCAGTAATATGCTGATCAGGCATATTCATTATGTTATGTTGTCGTTTTAATTTTAATTTTATTGGCCATTTTTTGTTTTTGTATTAATTTCAAAAGTTTTTTTTGCTTGAAGTTTTATTTGATTTGGTATCTTAACAATTTGTTCATAAACTTCAATTTGACGACGTAATAACATATTTCGCTGTCCAATATCCATAATTCTTCGTTGTAAAGCAAAATTATGTACACGCGTAAATACAGCAATATCTAGTATTGAATGAAGACTAACAGCACGTAAAATATCTGTAGATATAAGATTTGGTGCTCGATAACCACCAGTTTTATTTGGATGATTATATAAAATATGCTGCATTTCATATGACCATGTACATGATGTATTGGCATATTTTTATGCAGATCGACTAAGTTCAACATCTTCATGATAAGTAAAGAAATTTTTTAAACATTTTTTTATATGCAGAGTAAGGCGTGCTAAAGTTTCTCGCGATAATATAATACCAGGTCCATACATACAAAAATTTTCATTTTCACCTAAAGCTAGTTTTCTATTTGTTATCAACAAAAGGACTTTCCAACGGCTCTTTCATACTTCGAAAAGACGCATAGAATTTATGAAAACTCTCTTCCACCAAGGGTGTGGGTGTGAGATAATATAGCCTTCTTACCAACACCTCACACCCACACCCTCACCCACACCCTTTGGTTGCTGTTATTTGAAGAAGAACATCTTACTACTTCAGATAATGGAAAGAAGATTCTCGAATTTTGCTTTGTTCGATTTTTCGGATTATAAAAATTTCAACATCTGGGAAACAAAGATATTTTTTTTCCTGAAAAACTCATCGCTCATCTAGAATTAGCATTTAATGAGGATGTTTCTTTTTCCCATCTAAAGAATTATATATTTATCTAAAGATTAAGAAAACCTTTCAGGAATGAAGTATATATATATATATACATCTTCGGAAAAATTTATCTGCAGTTCCGTCATCAGCGAAAAACATCAGTTTTGAGAAAAACTCACAAGAAGTTTTTCTTGAATATGACCTTGCTATGACTGCGTAAAATGCAATTGAAACATACAGATATTATATGTCAATTGAAAATCTTTCTATGTAGATTAGATTATGCTTGTAGGAGATAAATCTCGATAGATGATGTTATCTGCCATAGTCTTTGTGGGTGAACATAGTTGAAGCGAAAATGCGCCCTCGCGCGCTCAAATCGTCAGCAATCTGAAAAGTGTATCTCCAAGACAATTAAACTTTGATTACTCCCAAGAAATATTTGTCTATTTGACAAATATCTAATTCCTTAAAATAATGTATACTCTTCTCTCTTTTATTCTCATCACTTGTCCATACAGTTTCAAAGATCATTAATGAAACTTCCGAAAACCTTTGCGAATCAAAAAACTACTTTTACAAATTCATACACTAGATAAATCGAGGAGCATGTTCATATTTTTATCACAAAAATTCAGTTTTCTGAAGGACATTGTTTTAAGTAATGACTATGAAAGTGAAAAGCAAGATTAGTGATCATCCGAATAACAGTAAAGTTGCAATTTTTACTAAATAAGTGTGTTCTCTGTATACAAATCTGCTTTTATTGATGCTAATTTAAATTAAATATTAGAAATGAACACTATAATAAGTTTCAACTTTATATTTCAAATCACATAAAAGTAGGATATGCGTAGCGGATTTCTGATTTTCGGACGGTGGACGGGGAGGCGATCATGGTCGTAAAACAATTTCTGAAGTCTGTTACATATAGTTTCGGTTCATTTTTGAGCGTTTTCTATCGAAAAAAATTGAAACAAGTTGCAAAAGGGAAAGGTAATACTGCTCAATGTCCCCTCAAAATCGTCCACTTAAGCATGTGTGTTTTTTCCGTTTATATTCCAGAATACCATCATTAATGTTCACTCATGATCGTCAGTCGTGACCAGTTTGAAGATTTCTAATCACCAGACAGATTTTTTTCACTAACATTTATGAAACGTAAGATGTACGAAATATTTAGTTTATCTGTATGTATTCAGTGAAAGTTTCAAGTTCTTGTTGTACTCATTATAAAGATATAGTAAGAGCTATTCTTCTTTTTCTATGCTATTGCAACAATTAGCAGTTAGTCTATTGTTATTTTACTTTTACATTGCTAAGTAAAGGGAAACAAAATAGACGTCTCGACTTAGCACTAACATAGTAGTGATAAAATTAGTTAGGAATATCGAATTTGTCTCGACATTGTATTCATCAATACGAATTACAATGTTTTTGTATACAGGATATACTATAAAAATATGGCATCTGGTTTCAATTCAATGCAATACTAATCCTAATCTGACACTACTAATTCGGCTAAGACTCTTTTTTTGAATATTAATACAGATAGAATAAATATTTGCGTCCTTCTGTCTGATTTGTTTTTATGACGTAAATAATTTTGAAAAAAAAAATTCTTCTAACTTTATGTGCATGCTTACATACATCGATTGAAACTAATTGAGAAATGTCTAACATAGTGACAAATCACATTACGATGAGCCAACATAAAGTTTCATAGGAGACTATTCGTTGTTTATTAAAATATTTAGAATAAAAATACTATGAGAATGAATCTATACAATTGACTTAGACTCAACACTATGTTCCTTACAAGAAAGCCTGATGAATGTTAAGTCATTTTGATAAGCATAGATTAAGATCAAATTCTTTCAGCTTTTAAGCCACCTTGATAGAATAAATTTTCTTTCTTCTTTTTGAAAAACATTAATTTATGATAACACAAAAAGCTATGCCGTAAATAGGCAAAAGCATAGTTTCTGCAAAGGTTCTATTGAAGCTTTTTTTTTCTTCTGTCTGGAAAGAAAACTAAATGCACATGCCCTCATCTTCTCTTTTATTCTCATGAGTAACTTATCAATTGATGCTTTTTGTGTAATAACCCGTGTAGTCAGTATGGAAATAATGGATATATTTACATGATAATGCAATCTATTTCATGCATTTTAATATACGTTGTTTTTAAATTATGCATTACAATGCATAAAATAGATTGCACTATCATTTAATTGCACCATTATTCTCCTACATAGTGTAAGATAGTATGATGAGCTCTTACTATCTGAGCAATCAAAATGCATAATTATTTGTTTTCAATTTAGAAATTTTTACATCTTTAATCAAAGAAACAATATCGATCACTTTGTTAATATTCTTATCACTATTTTCGATAGACAACTGCCGATTAACTTGTAGGATTAAAAAAAAACAAAGAACATATTTAGTATCTTAATATCAGCATGTCATCATTAACACTAATTCAAAAACTTATTACCATAAGCGATCTATGTAAGGTATATGCTGGTATATGCAATTTAATCGCTGGAATTATTGGTAATATTTCAATCATTTTGATTTTTACTACTTTGCGCGTTTTCAAGAGAAATCAATCGGCTTTTTATTTGACTGTTGAGTCTATCTCTAACATTGGTTTGCTCTTTGCAATAAATATATCAAGACTTCTTATTTATTTTCTTGACTATGATCCTACTTACACTTCAGTTCATTGGTGCAAAATACGAAGCATGATGTTACAAGCATTTGCTCTGTGTTCTTTATTTATTGTATGTTCTCTATCCTTTGATCAATATTTATCAACAAATCTTCGATTTCGTTGGCGAATATTGAGTACAATTAAATTAGCTCATCGTCTTATATGTTTTAATATTTGTTTTCCTCTCTTGCATAGTATTACTGCGCTTATTTTCACTGAGATTCGACCGTCCATGGGTTGTAATATATATAATCCGATAATACTACGTTACTATACTTTTTTCTATTATCCAATTATGGCCAATATTCTTCCTGTAAGTATTACTGTGACTTGTAGTTTATTAGCTTATCGAAGTGTTCGTCGCATTGTTCGACTACAACTACCAGTATTTCGACGATGTCTTGATCGACAAATGACAGCGATTACTTTAGCACGTGTTATGATACTTATGGTATGTGGCTTCCCTTATATTTGTTTTTCTCTATATGCAGCTAATGTAAACATCAATGAAGGTAATTTTATGAAATTGGCAATCATTAATTTGCTATCAACAATACTTAGCTCATTGCTGCATGTTAATTTCGTGGTAAAAAGACTCTTTGCTTTGTTATGTAACTGTTTATCGACATATTGCATCTTGTTTTAGATCAGTTTTTATGTTTTTTTAATACTATCATCACGTTTTCGTCGACAAGCAAAGACTGTTTTAGTAACAAAATCTTGGCGATTAATTAAATCTGTGTTTAATAGACCACTGGGAAATGGAAATAGAAATCAAGTTTCTCCTCAAACAATTGTACTAAATGCTTCTGGTAATGAACTAGATTGATGTTTATCTGATACAAGACTAATTGAAATCTAGCATGAAATATTTCACATCTATGAGCACAGTGCATAAAGCCAATAATTAATGTTGTAGTAAGAGAAAATTCTATATTTAAAATAAAGTTTGAAAAATGTTGTATGGCAATACCATAGTTTTTATTTTGATTGATATTATTTACGATTTTTTCTAGTATGATGTTTATGGTCATATTTCGAATATGAAATCATATACTATCCAATATGTATGAAGTCACTAATGAATGTTTGTTGTGAATGATCCATCCAATAGAAAGTTGACAAGATTGTGACATATATCTGCTCTTGTAGTTAATGAGCATGGATGGAAAGCTCAAGAACTCTGTCTGTCAGACTGTTATTTGGAATACAACCTGCAAACAGTAAGAATTGTTGGTAAAACAGGAAGTGATTGAGCGTACCATTTGGATACTGCTCCATTTTGAAAGATAATTAAAAAGTCAGAGGTATTCTTTTTTCTTCGGTCTTGTATAAAATTGTAAATATCAATGGAAAATTTTTCATTTATTATGAAGTAATCAATAACAATACATTGAATAATTAGAAATAAAATGTAATCTTCTATTTGTCATAAAATCTGAAGATTTTCATATTTCTTTGTGACTGTAGAAACAAGCTTACCTAGATTTTTTCAAGACATCAGCAAAATGATGCATATATAAATATAATTTCACGCAAAATTTTGTTTGAATACATTTAACATTCTTTCAAATAAAAGATTCATTGTAAAAGAAAATATGCTGTTATTATTTCTAAAAATAAATTTATTTCAAATCTATTGACAAAATTAATAAAAGATAAGTATCTTCAAATAATATCCTTTTACATTCGTCTTCAGCTTATTTTTTTATTCAGAAAATTCTATCGAGATCAAATCTAATTACCTGACGTTGTATTTATTTTATTTTGGTTTCTCTTTGACGTCGGTATGGTATGAAAAGAAAATGATTAGTTAAACAGACGCTTCATAAAGGAGTGAAAATCTTCTTTTTTTTTTTTTTTTTTTTTGACAAAAGGAAAGAACTTAATATCTAAAACAATTATTTGTCTGAATGAAAACCATTCACTTATATTTCAACAATAACTGCAAGAAGTTTTTTCCTTTATTGCAGCTTTTATTATGAATATGCAGTCGTCTGAAACCCATAAATAATTGTTTTTTTCCTTTGACATTTCACTGAAACAACATATTCTATGAAACTGAATGCATTTTATTGATGATTTGAAAACATTATCAAATATATTCGTAGGTCACATACATCAGTGATATGAATATGAAAGCTCAATAATATTATCAGTTTCAATTGCTTCTATAGTTTTTCATGATGAACGCTTATTTTCTGGAAGAAAATCAACTTGAAAGTGCCTGGCCGTAATAAATAAAATTACTTTGGAGATTATGATTTATTGTGTTGCTTATCCTTTTATACATTGCGTAGTACTTTAATATAAAGAGACAGTTTCTCTTTGATCCATGAATGAATAACTTCATTTATTTTTTCTCACATTAGTACTCACCAAAAGTTCTCAAATAAAAGAATGTCATTTTCCATAGTACGACGAGTTGAGTTTTATTTTGTAAGAGTTTTTTTTTGTGATATTACTTCTCTTATCATAATTTAATCCTCTTTAGCTTAACCGCATAAAACAGAACGCTACCAATAAGAGAAATTTTACAAGAGGGAATATGTCTTCAATTATCCAAAGAACTTTTCAGTAAATGCCACGATTTTATTGTATTTTAATGCCTGTGACTTCATTTTCTAGTAAACCGTCTTTTTTTTGTAATAGAAATTAGTATTTCTTCTAGTCAAAAAAACCTTACTTTTCTTGCAATCCATAAAAAAGAAACGATAATAAAAATCTATATCGATAGACAATCATCATTTCATTAGTTGTTTTTATTTTAGCACTGTGTATTTCATCAGTCACTCGAGCTTGACTTTCTGGTTCAGTCTTATTATAGTATATGTTCAGAGCTTTATCAACATATTATTGAGCACGATTTAAATTATTTGTGAACGTATGAATGTAACCAATATTAATGAAAATACCACTAACGTTGTAATGAAGCTGGCATGTATGAGGAAAAGTTTTTGATACAATATTAATGCTTTTTCATAATATTCTAGTGTAATTGTATGTTGACTTTTTAAATGATAAAGATTGTCAATATGCGCGAAACTTGAACAAACACTAATATGTCCATTAGAGAACACTTTGTTTCGCCGATGAAAAGCTTTAATATGATACAATAATGATAAATCTATTTCATCCTTCATTCATGAAAGTCATCCCCATGTTACATAAAATATTTACTGTTCGAATCGGATCAACTTGGTCATGACAGATACATTTCATGACAATCAATGTTTTCAGACTGAATGCTATTGGCTCAAAAATATTCCCCTTGTATAAAGTACATTTCAGCTATCTTATCCAAATTGTTTATCATACTGATATGTCCATTTGGTTGTAATCTCTCTTTGATTAATAGAGATATTATTTGATAAAAAAAAATTCTTGTTTGTTTTGATCACTTACCACGCTAGAAATATTGTTTAATTTTCTTGCTATGTCATTATGAAGAACTAGCAGAAGTATTTTCTTTATTTCAAAAGCTCTCTCGGAATATTCTAAGGCTTGATCATATTTTTTTGCATGATAAAAGTTGCCAATACTAGTCAAACATATTGAAGTATCAGGATCACCATTTGGAAAGATTTTTTCATATATTTTCAAAGCTTCTGTAAAACAGGCTAATGATTCATCCATCTTTTCCATTTGACAGTAGATATTGCCCATATTCGTTAAAGTCCCAGCTAATCTAACTTGCTTAGGCGAAAGAATCTTTTTATTCATAATCCAACAGTCTTTAAGATATTTTAATGCTTGATCATAATTCTTCTTTTTTGAATATCAATTAGCTATGTTATGGAGAGCACCAGCTATTATTTCTTGATTCGATGAGTAACAACTCTTTTGCATACTTAAATTTTGTATTTAATAATCCAAAGAAATATCATAGTCTTTACCTTCTAAGAAATAAACATTAGCTATATTACACATAATGCCTACATCAAAGTCAAAGTGTGCATCTCTAAGCGATCTTCTTCTATTCACTAAAGCTTCTAAAAAGTATATATAATAGCCTTATCATATTCATCTTTTGTTGTAAAAACATTTCCCAACCTATTTAACACAATTGTTGACTCCTCTACACTTTGTGAATCAGCATTAATGATCAATTTATAAGAATGTATCAGGTTTTTAGATAGCTTTATCACAATCTCGCCTGCTAAAATAAATAGTACCAATACCATAAAATATGTGTGCTGCATCTTCAACACTAGAATCAGTCAATAATTGTTCATAAAAATGTAATGCTCTTTTATAATCGCCAATTCGAGCGAGCAGATTTCCATATGCTATAGCACTGGAGTCTTCATTAAATTCTTTTCTTTTTGTCTTAAGATATTCTCGTGCAATTTTTTTCGCCAATGTTAGCTGTACTAACCATTAACTTGGTTTCTCTTCATTAATAGATAAAATTTCAAACGTAGTTCCCAAATCAAATAAAAATTCTTGTTCATCGGGATGCTTACTGAATCGTGAGATATCAGCAAAAAAAACAAAATGACATCTTGCCATTTATTGATATTTCATTCAATTTTGAGCAAAACGCTTTGTTTGTCATCTATTGGTCTACCAGCAAACACTTTTGCTATATCTTGTGAACGAGTTGTTGATAAAAAAATTCATGTGCTGATATGAGTTTTGCCGATATTGTCTTTTATTTTTTGAAGTTCAATCGTCGACATCATAAATTCACGATAAAGTTGTATATCTTCAACCATTTCTGTAATATACTGATGTTCTTGAGTTATACTTAAGCAAAGATCAGCAACAAAAAATCGAAATGTTTGTAATTGTTCAATATCTTCAGTCCGTCATGCTCTATTAATTTGCTTATAGATAAATGGTTGTCCAGTAGACCAACGAAGAGTATCTTTTGTTTCATAAGTACGATTAAATTCATCGATTAATTTTTTTTCTTTATTGTTATTATGATAGTATTCTTGCAATTCACTAAAATATAGAAAAATACAATCTAATTGTCTCGTATGATGAGTATACGACAGGATACTATTGACAAATGATTCGGAACTGAGTAAAAAAAAATATTGTTGCTGCCTTGGGGTGTGAGTGGATGTGTGGGTGACAAGAAGAACAACACGCACACCCACATCCACCCCTCACCCCAAAACCGTAGCTAATATAAAGAGGACAAGCAGGAAATGAAAGAAAAAAAAAGAGACTAATCACAACGAGATAATTATCGCAGACGACATATCTCCAGATTCTCAACACAGATGATAACATATTCTCTGAAAGAAAACATTTCTATCCGTTCAGAGTGACAATAACTGGAAAATGTCATCTTTCTGCACTAGAGTCGCAAAATAAAAATTCAAATAGAATATGTTTTCTCTCTTTCTTCTTTTACTCTTCTATTCCATAACATTCATCAGTAAACAGCAAGAACAAACAAATGGCTAATGTATTCTAACATTCTATTACTAATATTACTTCTTCTCTTCACTTTTCTTACACAATTTACGAGCATTAGTAGTGGCTTCTGTGAATGTGAAAATTGTACGGGCAAAGCTGTACTGAAAACACATTGGTACTCAATATTTAGAAACAAAGCAATTCATTTGTACGAAAAACAATGTGAAAGTGCAAATTATCATATTCAAATCGATCATCTGGCATTTTCCTCATTTGATCCTAAGGGTCAAGGTGACGGAACAGAATGGAAATTGTTGATAAAAGCTGCGAAAAACTCGTCAGAAGTCTACAACAATTTATCAACAATCAATTTGCCATCGTCATCAAAGAAAACAGCTGAATGTTTTCATTTACCAACAAAACCAAACTGGAGTGCATGTCGCCCATGATCTTACC